GGTCTGTTGATCAATCAGGGGTCTACAGTGGGCTTAGGATTCAAGGTTCAGGGCTTTCCTTTGGGGTCCGATATACGAAGCTTCTGCGGTTCTCGAAGCACTTTTTGCGCACTTCCACTGGCGGGCTCCCTCTGAATTCAACAACACCACGCCCACATCAAGGCGCACTGCTTAGGCTTCAGTTGAAGCTAATGAATTAACTGGATTTAAGCTCTATATATCAGCTACATCTAACTCACTCACTGATAAAAACAATGATGTAGGCAAACATTGGGCCGCAGGTATTGGTTTATTTACAAGAAGCACTGGCATGCGTCGCGACTGCGCGTTCAGTGACAGCAAACCGCCAAAGGCAGCGTCCCTGACTCAGAGCATGCAGTGCCGAAGCAGCGACCTGATCTGTGCAAAGACTACGATGCACGCTTGCCAGTGAAAACAGATGTCACACACACACACACCCATCCATCCATTTTCCATCCATCCATCCATGCATCCATCCAGACAAACAGACAGCCAGGCAGACAGACAGACAGGCAGGCAAACGGACATCCATGTATCCACACATCCATACGTCCAACCATCCATACATCCACACAACCATGCACCAATGCATCCATACATACATGCATGCATGCATACATGCAGACATACAAAGAAACATACATGCATACACACATACATGCATATATGCATACATACATACATACGCACACACACACACACACGCACACATACATACATAAATACATACATACGTACGTACATACGCACATACATCCACCTATACATACATATATATATATATATATATACGTACATACAGGCAGACAGACAGACATACATACAACATTACATACACACATCCTTCTCCATACATTAGCTCAGTGGCACAGGTTAGGAAGTCGCGGCATGGAGCCCAACTTCGAAGCCGAAACACTCACTCAACCCGAGGCTTGTCCAAAGGGTCCATGCAGCTATCTGATGTGTGCTTTGGCCTCAGGAGAAAAGACAGGCCGGCGCGTAGAGAAGCTCAGGGCATGCGCGCATCGATATATATATATATATATATATATATACACACACACACATACATACATGCACACGCCTTTCATCCAACATGCTGGTTGGAGGACGCCGAAGCAGAAATACCTAAAGGTTCTGATGCGCATGGACGTGTGGCTAAGGAGGCAGGGCAGGAAGAAAAAACAAGAATGACAAAGAGAGCGGGCGGGAGGGAGAGAGAGAGAGAGAGAGAGAGAGAGAGAGAGAGAGAGAGAGAGAGAGAGAGAGAGAGAGAGAGAGAGAGAGAGAGAGAGAGAGAGAGAGAGAGAGAGAGAGAGAGAGAGCGAGAGAGACAAACAAGCAGGTAACAGGTGTCATGCGACGCACGACTTTTCAACAAGCATAGCCGTGGCACACTGCCAGCACCTTTAGCGCTGCCTGAGCCAGCTTTCGAGCTCTAGGGCATTTCCTGGCCCTAGGTGAATTTCTAAAAGCACAAAATGCAGGTCCGACTAGAAAGCCTTGAGACCCCAAACCCTGCCCTCATAGACCGTTTGGAAGCTCTCTGGATTCAACGAAGCCCAATCTCCAAACCCTGAGCCCTAAACCCTTATACTACCCTGGTTGTTATCAAAGCGCCAATAACACAGCCCTGTATAGACCTAATCTTTTTCTAACAACCTAAAGCCCTCCCTAAACCGCGGCCCGAACCCAAAACCCTAAACGGGCCCTAAAATCGAACGACGACGCGCTCAGCCGAGTCCTCTCCAGCCGGCTCGCAGGTCGCGTCCTAGGGGTCAAGATATCTAATACTGTATAAGGGGTTGATTAATAGAATAAGGTCTTATACAAGCTTTTATATACCATATAATCATAATAATAATAATCATAATAACAATAATAGAGAGCCAAAAATAAAACCCCAAAATAGTATTGGTAATCCTTGAGGCCCGTATAGTAAAGGGTCGCAGTAAGGGGTTCCTGAAAGGGTTCCGTGACGGGCTCCTTCAAGGTCTCCCTAGATATTCCAGTAAGGGGATCTTTAAGGCTCCGGGTTTAGGGTTTAGGGTTTAGGGTCAAGGGTCCCTTTATTACAGGTAATTTAGGGACCTTAGCAATTCGAATGGAGTTTGGGTGTAGATTATGCTAGACTGAAATAAGTACTATGCTGGGTACTGTTGTTCGGGTTCCCAGACAAGACCTACAGGATTTGGGATTTAGGGTCCTCATTTACGGGTTGACGGGTCAAAAGGGTTTAGGGTCTCGGGTTAAGGTCTTCGGGGCTTACAAACCTATAGGTCCTAGGTGTTGGGGTTTTGGCTTGCTTCAGTGTGGAACGCTCTGGATGGCCATTGTTTCTGTGAAAGTTGGTCCCATGAGTCCCATGTTAGGGAAATTAGTCTAAGCTCCCATGGTTAAGCAGAGTGTCTGCAATATGTCCCCGCTAATGATTCACATTAATCTACGCTAAGTTCTTGGAACAAGAGTCCGACCTTTAGCCCTGTAAGCCCTCACCCGCCAATATTTTTGTCCCACCTAAACCTTTCGCCATGAACCCGAAACCTACAAACCATAAACCCGTACAAAGGAGCCCTTACCCTCAACAAAAATCGTAGACCCCTACGAAAAGAAGCCCTGAAACCAACCCTTCCCACCAGGTATAGGGCTTGGGCTTTACGGGCTGACACCCTCAATCCTCAAGCCTGAAGTCAAGAACCCCCTCGACACAACGTTTCAAAAACTTCAAAGCCCACAGCCAAGAAACCATCTAAATCCCAAGCCCCCAACCCTATAATCCTATACCCAAAGCCGAGAAAACCCCTCACAAAACCACAAAGGAGAGCGCGCCTGCGGGCTAGGGAGACTCCAGTGGCCGCTGTCCGAACCGAAGTTACCAAGATGTAGCGATGGGAACCTGGGTTTAGACCCTATAGGCTTTGATAGAGAGGGTTTAGGGTTTAGGGTTCAGGGTTTAAGGTTCAGGGTTCAGGGTTTGGAATTTAGGGTTGACCCTCCTTGCACCCTCAAATAGGGGTATATGGTCCCCAATAAGGGGCAGATAGGGTCTAATAGAGGGTAGATGGAGGGTCTAAGTAGGCTTTCGAGGGTTAGGGCTCCTGGAGAATATCATAGCAGATGTCGGTTTCTATTAATATTAATTACGGCGATACCAGCTGCTCGATAGTAGCAGACAGCCGGCTGAATATTACCTGGACCCCAAATGTATGTAGAATAATAGCCTTTTATAGGTATTGGGCCATTATTTTACCTACTTTGGGGGGTCTAGGTACAGGAATTTTTGGTGTGCGTGGCTCATGGGCTTAAAGCCTGAGGGTCTCGGGGCCTAGGTGAGCAAGGGCGGTAGGCCTAAACACCACTCAACAAGCCGCAGTGGCCTTATTCCTGGGAACCGAAACAGCTTGAACTTCAAACAATACCTGCAGTTGCATGCCGTGGACCTTAAACCCTTTCGCCAAGGCACCAAGACAAATCCAGCAACGAACTTAAGCTGGCTGTGCCATCCTGTCGGAAGGGGCTGAACACGTTTCACTGCTTGGGTCGGGGCTAGGAGGAGTGCTTTGAAAGCGAGGAACGCCGGGGCAATGGTAATTTAAAGCTTTGTCTTCTTGTGGGCCATCAAGGCGTTTTTCCTACAGCCTACCTGGACCCCAAAAGTATGTAGAATAATAGCCTTTTATAGGCATTGGGCCATTATTTTACCTACTTTGCGGGGTTATGGGCCTACCAGACGTTACCCTGCAAGAGCCTGTTCGTCTCAAATTCTGAACCACAAAACTTATCAAACCAGAAGCTTAGGGTGTCTATTCGCCCACCACCAAAGAAGTTGACACGTAAGACATCCCCTCAGGGCTTGCGCACCTAAACCCGATAGCGCCTCTAGTGTTGTCCGGCATGCCGTTGTCGTGAATGGCGGATAAGTTATAAAATTACACGCCTCCGACTCTCTCTCAGAATTTGGGAATTCTGGTGAGACTTGGGCCCAGGGTGCCAAGATTCGTGGGGTGTCTTTTGGGACCGAAACCCCTAAAGGCCACGTGTCAAACCATTTTTATAAACAAACCCCTCCTACTGTAGTGTTTTGCGGAAAGGCCTAGCGCAAGAAGCCCTTAAAACGAACAGACCCAACAATTCAGCAACAAAAACCTAAACCCTAAACTCCTCAACCCCAAAACCAAAACCCCCCAAAACCCCCGAATCCCTAACCCCCAAAACCCCCAAAACCCCCAAACCCTTGACCCCCTAAACCCGAACCCCTCAACCCTAAACCCTAGCCCCACACCCCGAACCCCTGAACCCCTAAACCCTACCGCGAAACCCCTAATCAAACCCCAAACCCTTATACAAACCCCTAAACCCTATAACCCACCACCCCCCTCCCTCTGAAAAAAAACACCGAAACCCTAAACCCCTTCAAAAAAAAGCACCGACAGACGGCACTCCTGGTCAATGCGGCTCGCGATCTGCCGCGCACGAGCCTCCAGAGCTGACTCCGAGGTAGACCTGAGTGGTTGGCAATATTAGGGTCTTGTCTTGGGTCCTTATTATAGTACGGCACCTAATATTTAGGGTACCCAAAAAAGGGACCCTAATTTTGAAAACCACCCACCTGAATTCAGGTCTCTGTAATCAGGGTTAGGGCCTCGGGTTCAGGGCTTAGGGGGTTTGAAGTTTAGGGATTGTAGGGTTTAGGGCTTCGGGCTTAGACTTTCAGTCAGGTCTGTGTAAGGACTCAGGTTTCTGGGGGGTTTCAAGATGTCTTGGGTGCTAAAAAGCAGAGTCTGGAAGGTTTAGGATTCAGATTGCTGCGGTTTCGGGATGCTTTTGAGTGCCAAAAAAGTAAATTCTGACATTTTGAGAACTCAGATCTTTCTTGTTTACAGGGTTGGGGGATCTGAGGTTTAGGGATGTTCCGCATACAAAAAATCGGGGTTTGGGGGGTTTGGGTTTGGGGGGTTTGGGGTTGGGGGGTTTGGGGTTTAGGGGTTTGGGCTTTGTGGTTTGGGGTTTAGGGGTTTGGGCTTTGTGGTTGGGGGTTTTGGGTTTAGGGTTCGGGTTTGTGCAATTGTTTCATTGTTGTACGCTTCGGGGCCTATCTTGGGCAATCCAAGCGACTGAGGCAGGAAATGCATGGCAATCTGCATGAAGATGGCCTTGAGGGTGCTGGTGTACATCTCGATGCCAGGCAACTTCTGCACAGATGGATCTTGGGCAATCTCATCAAAGGCATCTGAGGATTGAGGTACCGTGAAGCCTTCGGTGGCAATGACCGGAAGTACGTGACACGACGAGGACGCGCGGTAGGCTTGTAGCAACCACTCGGCCACGCAGGGGGTGGTCAGGCAGTCCGTCGTGCAGACTAAGATCAGGAACAGCGGCTTTGTTGAGCCAAGCTCTCGTCGACTGTTGATTCTATCAGCGGAGCACAGCACCTTTGGGAACATGTTGGTGGTGACGAAGATATGCTGGGAGATCAAGTGGCGCAAGACGTGCGCTGATGCAATGGCCTCTGTATCCTCAAGGTTTGCAAGGATCAGACAATCGGAATCGAAGTCGCGAGAGGCACACTGGGAAAGCCGCCTTGCGTGCTTACCTGAGGGCTTCCGAAAATAGGGGGACCCTTATAGTAGAATCCGTGTTATAAGGCCCCCCAAACAAACGGTACCCCTAATTTTCGGAAACCCCAAACCCTTGCAGAGCCTTTCAAAAGAACCGTTATAGTACCCTTGCAGCAACCCTTGAAAGGAACGCTTAGGTATAACCCCTCATTTTACTGGGTTGTCCTTTAAGCCCTTTGAAAATTATTTACTGTTATGGTTCTCTACAAAAAGGTAGGGTAAATTGAAAGAGATCCCAAAGGACAACCCAGTTTAAGAAACTCATTTTAGGACAGTATAGATCCCCTCTGGAACCCTTAAAGGAACCCTTAAAGGAACGCTAGGACCCCCAAATAAGGATTTTGAGAATCTCCCACCTCCGGTCAACTGTTTGAGAACTTCAAACAGCTCCTCCCCTGGAAGCTTCGAGCTCAAACTCACACTCTTCACCGTCCTCAACTCAAAGGGAAAAACTTAGGGCTCTTAGGGTTCCTTTAAAGGGATCTAGAAGGGGTTAGGGTTTAGGGTTCAGGGGAAAAGGAGGGACCCTTAATGGGGACCCCTACCCTATAATGGGCTATATAATGGGTATATGATAGCTCTATTAAGGGCATATACCCAGGGGTCCTTGTTACGGTTTTACTCTTGGATCAACCATCTCAAAGCATCTGAGGGTTCAGGGTTCAGGATGTAGGGTTTTGGGTTCAGGATTTATAGAAGGTTTAGGGTTTCAGGATTTAGGGTTTAGCATGGTTTACTGGCTTACATATAGGTGATATTGACTTATGGGTTTCGGGTTTAGGGTTGAGTCCTCAACCATCTCAAGGTATCGGTGATGTCCGCGATGCCGAAGCCGTAGGTGGCGAGCTCAGCGATGTCAGGCACTGTCCCCTCGTAAGCATCCTCGGCTGGAATCTCATCGGGATCATTCCCCAGTTCTCGCTTCGCAAAAGAAGCACTACAGTAAAAGCCCAAAAGTTGGTAAAATAAGGGCCAAAAACCTTTATAAGGCTATTACGGCTATTATTCTACATACTTTTGGGGTCCAGGTAATTCCTTGTCAACCTAGGTGGTGCAATGGCCACCCTTGCTGTAAGCACCAGTACCACTACGAGTATCATCATGTGTGCTGTTGGCCGAATTCCTGTTGCTGCTGCTATCACCTGTCCCAGAAGCATAACCATCATCTTCCCAGGTCTTGATACATGTCAGTTGTTACGGGCCAGAACATCCAAGGATCGATGAAATCCATGGATGGAAGGTAGAAGTGCGGCAGCATCACCAAGGTGGTGTCTAAGCCACCAAGCCTGGCATCAATGTCGAAACTAGGGTCGGGACATGGGGTGTATCATCTACCAACTACAGTGGCCGGTACTACTATCGGTACCAATATCAGTAAATACGAGTACTACTAAACAGAGCGATAACAATAATGTGCTCTGCTGCTACCGCTGCCACTGCTGCTACTGCTACTACTGCTACTGCTGCTGCCGCTGCTGCTGCTTACTGCTACCACTTCTAGTTACTAGCACCACTGCAAAGGCGCCAGCACCATCACCACCACCGCTACCACAACTATCACCACCACCACCACCACCACCACCACCACCACCACCACCACCACCACCACCACCACCACTACCACCACCACCACCACCACCGTCACCGCTTCTACGACTACGATTACTGCTGCTACTGCTGCCACCTCCCTTTAAGCATTGTTCCTGATACTCTGACGTTGCGGCCGCTGCACCCAAGCAATGACACAAAGAATCGGCACAAAGCTGGCAAACTCATCTGAAACCTTCAAGGATGTGACCCAAACACCCGAAGCCCCTGTTACCGAATGAGGTCAAATGAGATTTCCCCCCAAAAAGGGACCCAAATATAGTACCCTAGAAAGTAGGATCCTGATTATAAGGACCCCTTATTTTGGACCCCAAAATAAGGTATCCCTAATTGTCGGAAACCCTAAACCCAAAACCCTAAACCCTAAAAGCCCAAAACCTAATTTGACAGGGGATGGGCCTTGCGGTCACAATCTCCGCGACACACCATTTTCGAGTCAGCACCTGCCCCATGGGCTTGCGATCTGGGAGTTTCTGAAAATAGGGTACTTTATGTTGGGGTCCTTATAATAATGAACCTATTATTTAAGGTACTATATTGGGTCCCCTATTTTCGGAAACTCCCATCTGGACTCTCGGTTTCGGCGTTTCGGGGTTTGGAGGGGGGGGGCACCTCTCTTTTGCCCGACAAATTATAAGGTTCAGGGTTCAGGAGTAAGGCTACGAATTTGGGCTCGTAGTCTCAAACTACTGCTGGGACAGTTGACCTACCGGCTCATGTTCACGGGGAAGTCTTCCTGGCGAATCTTGGTTTACGGTCTAAGTATCGCACAGCACTCACACAATGTAGCCTTTTGTCGGATGCCTGCGTAGTCGCGAGGACCAGAAGTGCTTCCACATTGCGGTTCAAAGTGACGAAGAGCTGTGTCAAGTCGGTGAGGTCGTCCTTCAAGGAACCCCTGATTAAGAGCACATCGTGTTTTTGTATGGTGAAAGTACTAGGTGGTCATCGTAGCACTAGCCGTCGTCATCCCAGTCGTTGCTGTTGCTACGGCGACCTACAACTACAACTACAACTTCTACTCTACTACGACTACTACTCTACCACGGCGACAACTACTACTACGATGACGACTACTACTGCTACCTGCTGCTGCGGATACTGATGCCTCACCTACTTCGTCGTTTTTACTACGAAGACTACTGAAGCGATCTGTTCGACACGCGGTATGACTCCCGTGATATGATGCAATGACGATGACTCGCACAACCCTTGCAGATAACCATCGTTCGCGATCCCTGTGCGGTCCTACTGCTCACTATCACCCTTTGGAGTTTGATGTCTTGGGGTTGAGAGGTTATGGTTTGGGGTTTGAGGCTTTAGAATTCCGCGGTAAACCCTAAACCCTAAACCCAAAACCCTAAACCCTAAACCCTAAACCCTAAACCCAAAACCCTAAACCCTAAACCCTAAACCCAAAGCCCTAAACCCTAAACCCAAAACCCAAAGCCCTAAACCCTAAACCCAAAACCCAAAACCCTAAAAACCCGGGACGCAGTGAGTACAGCCATCAGGGTTGGGGACTGCGCGGGTTTTATCCCCAACAGAAGAAACCCACAAGTCCCGTAAAGCCCCATGAACCAAATCCGATAACACCTCTCTATAGATGACAATCTATCCTTTTGTATATACACATATGCATATATATATATATATATATATATATATGTATATATATGTATATATGTATATATGAATATATATTTACTTATTACTTATACATGTGTATATATATATATATGTATCTATAGATAGACCCCTCCGTGTCGAGGAAGACGGCGAAGCCGCGCTGCTGAAGCTCCAGTTTCAGCAAGCGCGCGAGGTTGCCGGCCGCCTCAGAGGTTGCGGTCGTTTCTGTCTTTTTCTTATTCGAATTTGGGGTTGAGGGTTTAGGGTTGTTTCTGTCTTCTTCTTATCAAAATTGGGGTTTGAGGGTCTAGGGTTTATAGTTTTGATTTATAGTTTGTTTTTTTGTTTGCGGTCTGGGGTTTAAAGTTTAGGGTTTAGTCTTTTGTTGATTTTGGGAGGCTTCGGATAGAGGTTTACGGGTTCAGGATCCGAGACACCGAAGAGTGGGACGCTAGGTCTCGAAAAAGCAGGAGGTTTGGAAGTCCAGGTGTTTGGGGTTTATAGAGTTTAGGGGTTTAGGGGTTTAGAATGGGCGGGTTTAGGCTTAAGGTGTAGAGTTTAGGGTTTTGGGGGTTTAGAATGGGCGGGTTTAGGTTCAAGGTTGTGTAGAGGTTCGGAGTCTAGGTATGAGAGCTCAATGCTGCAATGCCTCACAGGGTAGGGGTTTAGAGCTTTCACCTACAGCTCGAAAACTTGCTTTTGAAGCAACCCTAAACCTCGAAGGTGGCAAAGTCCTTTTGGAGCGGCAAGGCTATATCTTGTTGATGCATGTTTAAATCAAAGTAGCTGGCAGCAGCTGACAGCAAGTTGGTCCTAATCCCCGAAAGGCTTCGCCTCGCAGTAGCCACCTCTCAAACCCTAAACTCACCAACAACAACTGCAAACTTCGAAACCCTAAACTCGTTTAGCATTTGGGGCGAATCTTCTGCAGCCACAACACACAACCTTACCTCAAAGCCGTATACCCCCTCAGCACGAAGCCAATTACCCAAAGCCCCCTAATTTACTAAGCCCTGAAGTTGGAAGCCCTAAACCCTAGACGACCTGAAGAATCAGACCTGGGTGTTGGTGTCTAAGAGACACTCGGGAATCATGAAGGAGCTCTCAGAAAAAGCAGTACTAGTCTGTCAGGCAGCTGCGATGTACGGGCCTTAATAATTAGAAGAAGGTGTTGGGGTATGACGTACAATAGCGGACCCTAAAACTAGTATTGGCGATGACTGAGGCGCCTATATGGGTAGTTGTCAAAATTAGGGTCCCTTTTTGGGTACCTAGTATAATACGTCACCTACTATTTAAGGTACCCAAAAGGGGACCCAAATTTTTTGACAACCACACATATAGTAGACAACAAGGCGAAAGTCATCCGAATGGCCTGCTTGTGATGCGATAGGAAGAAATGGAACTTCTTGCCGCGCATCATCAATAGATGTCTGCCTGAGGCTATGCTGCAGAATCTTTTTTAATGGAAAGGGGCTAATTAGAAGCCTCATGCCGGGGCCAGATCTGAAAGCAAGTATGTGAAGGACCCAAACTACAAAGGCCCTTCGAGAAGAACATGCATCTTTAAGTACTTACTAAGCCCCCTGATCTTGCAAGTACCCTAGAAGCTCCATGTAAGCTCTTCAAACAGAAAACCCTGATCACCTATCATCTGATCGACCGCATCAGGCATTGAGGGTGTAGGGTTTAAGAATTGGCGAAAGCAATCGGCCAGGACGGAATATGAGAGATCTGCACCTTGTTCTCAAAAGGTTGTATATGGGAGCCTCACAGCATACGGAAGCCCCAATTAACATAGATCCCAATTACTTCATACAGGCATCCTTCATATCACAAGATCCCGAGATTATTGCAAACCGCAGATCACGGACAGAATGATGAGCCGACAGTGAGCTACTACGCATGCGTTGACCAGTACGGAAAACTACTTCGGGGGCCTGAACCTCATTAAGGTTATTGCTGGTACAGTTTGTCTTCCATAATCTGGGCTAGAAGTCCATATACATATACACAACACGCACGCCGCCTACTTATGAGGAAGACGTGGAAACAGAGTTGTTGCAGGGGCTGACAAAGGATGTTTTCTACTCTCTAGAAGATCTCCGAGGCTCCCATGGGGTACATCTCCGAAGGGTCCAAGTACCAGTATAGTAGAATATAGTATGCTACAGTATAACATATGTATAGCAAGCAATATAGTACAGTATGTATAGTATAGTATCCCCATCTTGACTTTTTCAAGCTGGAAATCAATCCTTTGAATCCTCTGATGACCACTTCCCCCCCGCTCCCTGCCCACCACGCCTATGGCAAAGATGGACAAACTCGCAAGGGTGACGAGCATAGCGGCGAGACATAGTGCGCAGATTAACATCGAGTAGTACTGGTCCTTGATGAACCCAACCCTGAAGTAAACCAGAAATCTTAAACCCAGTCTTTGACCCGTGCACCGAAATCAGCCGTAGGGGGCGTGTGCAAAACTTGGCGTAAAGCCCTCCCTATAACCAGGAAAACTCTTCAGATGATCCAAGGGGTCCTACAGGGCTTTCAGAAGACTAGCAACTTGAAGTGTAAGTTGGCCGTTTGGGTTACAGGTCACACTAGAAAGAAGGGCTTCGTCTCAAACAGCTCATGGAAATTAGGCTCAACTAACGTCTGTTCGAGCTTCGGGATGCTTGCATTTAGGCGGTTGTCAAATTAGGGTCCCTTTTGGGCACCCTAAACAATAGGTGCCGTATTTTAATAAGGACCCAAAAAGGGACCCGAATATTGACTACCACCCATTTTAGATGCGACATCGTGGGTTTGGGGGGCACGAGACTGCGAAACGAAGTTGGCAATGCAGGCTAGGCAGCTTCACCCAAGCTCAGGCGGATGAGCATGCGAAACGATGGGTATGATTACGATTAGGAATACTGTTACTATTACGACTACCATCACTATAACTATTGGCAAGTGGTATTACTATTGCTACTGCTAGTACTATTGCTATTATTAGTACGAGTACTTTTACGATGACTGTTACTGTTACTGTTATTGTTACTGCTACTGCTCCTGCTGCTGCTACTGCCACTGCCGCTGCCACTGCCACTGCTACTGTGACTGCTGCTGTTACCACTACCACTACCACAACCACTACTACTACTACTACTACTACTACTACTACTACTACTACTACTACTACTACTACTACTACTACTACTACTATTGCTGCTACTACGACTACTACTACTACTACTACTACTACTACTACTACTACTACTACTACTACTACTACTACTATTGCTGCTACTACGACTACTACTACTACTACTACTACTACTACTACTACTACTACTACCACAACAACTACTACTACTACTACTACTACTACTACTACTACTACGACTACTACTACTACTACTACTACTACTACTACTACTACTACTGCTGCTACTACTACTGCTGCTACTGCTACCACTTCTGACTCCAACAACTACTAAACCTATTACGATTACGATTGCTGCTACTTTTTCTACATGATGATGGTGATGACATGCAGTTGACGAATTCAACACGAAATCGCTCAGCAGCACAAGGCACGATGAGGACTTCGAGTCACACCACACGGGCTTGGAAGGTTATTTGATGTCGCTAAACCCTAAACCCTGGACAGCTACGGCGGATGCTACGTTGCCAATGGTTTCAGCACAGGTTGTGGCGCATTACCTGGGTCTCAAACCCAATGACTAACAACAACAGTTTGCGGTCTACTATAGGGTGTAGGATTTTAGGTCTAGGGTTTAGGCTTTACTTGGGGGCTTTAGTTAGTACACAAGCCAAGCTTCCACGCCGGTCACGAAGAAGCTTCCTTGGAAGACGATGATCAAGAACACGGCGTTGACGCAAATGTCCGTGCACGATGCCGGAATTGAGCGCCATGGCTTGAAGTATGCGCAGAGTATCAGGCTCAGGCACAGCAGACATTGAATTGTTAGCAGGCTTCCGTTGGCCGCTGGCAGAATCGGTGCCAGCGCAAAGAGTGCGTTGCGCAACAGGAAGAAGATGGAAAATCCTTCACCTGGGTTGTGCTCTAAACCGTTTGCAAATTATTTATGAATAGGTTCCCTTGATAAGGACATAATAGAAGTTAAAACACTATCCCAAAGCACAACACAGTCACAGCCAGGTCGGAAACGTAGGACCAGGAAGGAAGAAGCACGGATGAACTGCACATCTGCTTTGCGTAGCCGCTTTGGGAACTCCACGAAGATGACCCATGAACAGAAGGCCAGGAAGCTGATAGGCAGACAGCCAAGAAACCCACCAAGGAGGCACATTTCAAAATGACTCCCTTCGAAGTTGCATAGAGTACCTCTACCTCAGTCAGGGGCGCACTAGTTCCGATTTTCACATGCTGTAGGGGCTCAACAGCCGCTCGAGGCGTTGAAGACTGCATCCCAAGGATGCTGATGTAGGGGCCTTAATGATTTGAACAGGGTTTAAGGGCATAATACTAGAAACTAGAATAGTAACAATATATAAGCAGGAACCCCCAAAATGAGGCCCCTATATTACTGCGATGCAGAGATATGATGAACAACAACTGATGTCTATCCATGGAAAAATGCGAGAGGCACTGGTGCTCTTGTGCAGTTTCTTCCAAACTGGATTCGGGAGATTCGGAACGTCCACAAAAGTATCTAGTTCAACAAGAGCTCGCTTTAGTGACGGTCTCGTTCATGAGGCCAGCAACAGTCTCATGCACGTCAGGGCTTGTGAGCAAGTCATGTCATTTCGCACGGTGAACACTCCCTGGCCCTAAAACTCACGTCTGAACAGAAAAGCCCCTAGCCAAACCAGATCACCAAGCGGCTAGAATGCATCGTCAACAAACCGTTCGGGTGAATTTGGCACTGGAATGGCTCAACTACGGCTGTGCAAAGGGCGATGAAGAAGAGCACGAAGAGAGATCCCAGCGTTTCCTGACTCTGCCAGATTTCAGGCAGTTCAACATTTCACTCCTGATTCGTCATCGCCGTAGGTAGTTCCGTAGTGGCAGCAGCAGCAGCAGTAGTAGTTAGTAGTAGTACTGGCAGTAAGAGTTGTCGCACGGTACTACGCATTGCTAAAGTGCGGGTTTCGCATTTGGGAGTTTGCTGTTGGAGTTAGTATTGTGCTGACACAAAAGTTGCTGCCCCTAAACCTATACTGAACTTAGAACCCTAGCAAAAATTACAATTTTAGCGATTTCTTCGGGATTATACTAACCAAAAATTAAAAAGTATTTCTAAGTACCCCTAAGAAACCCTAAACTGGCAGGCCCAGTATCAAACAAGAGATGAAGCTCCCAGCTTCTGCGTCTCCAGATCAGAACGACAGCCAGATGAAGTACCTGGAGCAGGGTTTAGAGTTTAGGGTTTAGGGTTTAGGGTCTTATGAAGTACCTGGAGCAGGTTTTTTTTTTTGTTTTTGCGGGCCCTTTTCCGACTGCAGTACAGCAAGAACTCCAGGGTTTAGGGTTTAGGGCTGTGCTGCAGAAGGCCTTCTACTGCGATTCTGCTGCTAAACAGTGTTGCATCTACTAGACAACAACAACAACCACAACCACAATTAGGACCACTAACAACAACAGCAACAAGGCCAATAATTACAATCCAAATCACATCCACTTGTCAACAGCAGCAGGAGCAGCAACAACGACAACTGCATAGATTGGAGGAGGAAAACGAGTATCTACACTAGCGCAGCAACAAACCGATATCAACTGTACCGATATACTGTATTGCCCACGAGTGTTTAAATACAAGTGCTTTAAGGGAGACTTTTTGATAACGGATAACGGTTCAAGGAGTGTGTTGCTGCTTCCATTAGGATTGGCACGACCAGTAGCCGGAATAGCAGGAGCAATCACTTCGACTCGCCGTGTGCTGTTAGCTGTGGTAGGTCGAATGCCAGCCGGCTTGGTCGACACGGCGAGGCCAGCACAGTGCTGGTACTAAAGCACGGACACATGTGGCAAAACAGTGGCATCACAACTGGCAGACAAAAACATAGTGCTGGGCAAGATAATCACGACCAAGAGGATAGGAGCTGAGAACATTAACCATCCTAAGCCCTAAACTCAACTCCTATAAACTGGACCGATGAAAGAACACGAAGAGAGCCCCTGCTGGCAGGTACTAGTTTCGAGGCACCGGGCTTCAAAGGCTCAAGGCCCACTGTTCGAAAGCAGGACATAGCGGGAACATCTAGCAACAATACTCCTTTAAAATGATTCCCCCGCCCCCCGCCCCCGAAAAAAGCAACAATACATATTCTGGTTCTTCACGGCCGATATTAACTCGCTTCCAGGGCGCCATCGGCGCTGCCATGAAAGATGCAGGGACGACCACGATTTGCATCAAGAATTGCAAGGTCGAGGTCAGGCGCGTCACACAGGAGATGGCCTGAGGGCTTCCCAGAGACTCCTATATCCCTTAATTAAGGAATATACCCTAAATTATAGAAGGAAGATTCCCTAATTAAGGGATATTGGAGTCTCTGGGTTGGGATTGAACAACACTAGCAATATCATTAGTAAGAGTAGTATTGCCAGGAATAGGACTAACAATGTGAATAGCAAACAGTAATCGCATAGTCGCAATAAATGTAACAGCAGAAATAATTGTAATTGCTGTACTAATAAATATGATCGTAATCGCAATAGCAATAATAGTAACAGTAAAAATACCAGTAACAGTAAGAGAGCCCTGGAGCTGCTCTAGGTTGCAGAAAGCTGGGTGCGCTCTGCATGTACGGATAAGCCATTCGAATCCTTTGCATCATAGTGTTTGCACGTAAACACGAAATAAACGCAACTGCGGAATACTCATAAACTTATCTCTTCCTGCGTTTATTATCCATGTGGACACAAAGAGATATGGATGGATAGATGGACGGAGAGACGGGCCACCAATTTGTGTATGAAACGTGCATGTGTTTACATATTCTCTATCTATGTAGACAATGTATGCATCATATAAGACATACACAAGCAGGTGCATGTATGTAAGCATGTGCATGTATGTGTATATATATATATATATATATATATATACATGTCACGTACACACACACACACACAGACATTTTGGGTCTACAGCAGCTGACTTTGCTCATTGATTTGTTCAGATTATGTATACGGACGCAGAACATTCCTCTACGAGTCTAACCTGCTCAGCTCTTGCTCCACGCAGGCCGAACAACTTGAAACTCTAAGCTCAACTACGCATGAACTCAGAAGCTACCTTAAACCCTAGGTCCTTTGCATAAACTCAGAAGCTACCTTAAACCCTAAAGCCTGTACATCAACTGCGAGTCTACTTTGGGGCTTATCATTATAGGCTTTGGAGCTTGCCTGGACCACAAGAACCCGTAGGATCACAGCGCCTGAAGGGTTGTGGCGGTTTAGGGCTTAGGGTTTAGGGTTTGGGTTTAGGGTTTAGGGTTTAGGGTTTTTGTTTTTTGTTGGGGGGGGGGTAATTATGTAGGGGCCTTCGGGATTAGAATCGGGTTTGGGGGTAGACTTAAACTTCTACTAAGGAACCCCCAAAACCCTATTCTAACCATTTCGGCCCCCCTACAGTAGGTAGAGTGAAGCTATGATCAAGATGCCTTGAGACCCGTAGTACGGTTGATGATATAAATCCTGCATGACCCATACTAAGGAATATGCCATAATTCCCATAGTTTAAGGTCCTTAAGGTAATGCAGGATTTATATCATCAACCGTAGTGCGAAGTCCAGGGGTTGAGGAGCCCTGACGGGACTCTCCCCTTCGGGAAAGCAGACAGGACGCCAAGCCCATACCTGGACCCCCAAAAGTATGTAGAATAATAGCCTTGTATAGGTTTTGGGCCATTATTTTACCTACTTTTGGGAGTCTAGGGAGTCACCTAACACCTCAAACCCCCCAAAACCTTGCACCTCAAACCCAAAAACCTAAACCTTAAACCCTAAACTCCAATCCCTGAACCCTAAACCACTGAAACCCAATCCTCAGGAAGCCCTCCAATCTGGAATTTCAAACCCGCCAGTTTAGGGTTAAGGGTAAAGGGTTTAGGGGGCCCTAAAGCCTAAACCCTCCAACCGGGGTTGACTATAGTCTTAGATCCCAGAGTTTTGAGTCAAGGGCATGGCGTTGAGAATCTAGGGTGTCCATGGGGTTAATATCTCCGCGACAGGTCTCCCTCTTGAGAGGCAAGCACTAAATTAAAAGCGCGGGGTCTAGGGTTTCGGCGTCCAATAGTTGGATCAAGTTGCACTCAGTGATTCGAAGATCACATCCGCAGAGAGGAAGCTGAACATCTTCATGAGCATGAGGAAGGGCTCATCCCAAGTGATGTCGATCTTCCTGAGCTGAGGGTTTAGGGTTTAGGGTTTCGGATGAAGGGTGCAGGGGCATATATATCCTACAGAACATCTTATGCCGTGACGAGGATATACTGATGATACCGGCAAGAATGCACAATCCTGTTTACCAGTCGAGGCGATCATCATCATCATCATCATCATCTCATCATCTTAGTACCCTAACTACCAGCGTCACCAACAGACTACCAACACCGCCCTTGCCATCGCCATGTCCATTGTCTTCTCGGTATAATTATGCAGTGCTGATGATTACTGCCATTGTGTTTGGTCTCTCCTAACGTACACTGGAACAGCTGTACCGGTATGCTAAGTTAAGGTTGCAAGCTGGAGCCAGTATGCTAGGTTAAGATTGCTAAGCTTCCTGCCCCGGCTCAGGAAGCCAAAAACATGCTACTTCTCGTCACGGGGTAGGAAGCTATTGGTGGACGGCACGAACCCCTCCTTAGACCTTTGTTCGTCAGGCTTTCCACTTCAACCCGCATCGCACGGGCAATCTCCAAGCCCAGAAACCCCTTGCCCCATATTCCTGCAAAACTCCCTTCCCCGTGTTGCACGACATGTCCCAAACTGTCAAACAACTCAGAGCCTAAACCCCCCGAAATCGCAGACCATCTGAGAGTCTGTATGACGATCACGAGTTGCAAGCACACCACCAGCTGAGTTGCAAAGAGACTCGCACTCAAGAGTCCGTTCCTGGGGTTGGAACTAGGGCTTGGGCTTTGGTTCAGGGTCTGGGCTTTAGCGGTCTGGACGTATGGTGTTGGGTCTTACTGCAACCATCGTCACACAATTGTCTGAACAATAAACAATGAGATCTTATGGTCTTCATACAATTGCAAATGCTTCGCCTCGAGTGACGCCTAATGATCAATGCCTACAGCCCCTCCCAACACGAATCACGCACCGAGGACACCACAAAAAAAAAACAAAAGAAACCTTTTGCCGCCCTAATGAAGCCAAGGGCCAGCCAAAAGGACAAGGCTTGGTTCGGTTAAACCCTATCATCGCTCATACGAGGCCCAATGGGTCTCGTATGACCGATGATGCCCAAGTTGTCTTGAAATGCCTTCTCTGGCTTCTCACCCCGAACCCTAAGCAGCCCACACCCTGAACCCTAAACTCTCAGACCAGAAAACACTCACGAGAGAAGATCGGACGAGGCACTGCCTCTTGATGAGGCTCTGGTCCTGCTGCAGCACCAAAAAATGTTTGAGGCCGGTACCACCGAAGACGAGGAGGCCGACAATGGCCTCAGGTTCAAGGGCTTAGGTTTAGAGCTCGTAGCTTGGGGTTCACTATTATACCGGTGGTGGCTTCAGGGTTTGGGGTGGCATAGTTGGCTTGGCTTCAAAGCTTGAGGTAAGATGCTGTTCAGTTGGGCGGCTTGGGGCATAGCATATTCGGGCTTTAGGGCCTGGAGTTATTCACCATCCGACCTCACGCGTTGGCAAAAGGGGCGAAGTCATTCGGATCCACGAACTCCCTGGACCCTGGATTACGACAGTGGCTAAGGTTCTTAAACAGTGGGTCCTTATACAGTGCTCTCACTGTAATTATGCTTAACCTTAAGCCATATATTGGAATAGGGTTTTGGGGCCCATTATACTACAACTATAACCTAGGATGCCCAGTAACCTAGGAATAAAATGGGCTCCCTTTTTGGTATTGGGTAACTTTATAAGGAGCCCAGGACTACAAAAAGGGCGGGAATAAGGGTGCTACTGGGCATCCTAGTAACAGGGACCCACTGCTTACTGTCATGGCCGTACCCAGACCTTCCAAAATCCCTTAATTAAGGAATATACCTTAAATTAGAATAGGATCCCAAATATGAATCAAGGTATATTCCTTAATTAAGGGATTTCTGGGTAACCCGGAGCTGAAGAGACCCGAAACCCCAACCCGGAGCACTGGAGCCAAAGCCAGGACCGGTGATTCCAGACCCTGAAGCAAACACCCACAAAAACCTCATCATCCTTTAATATAACCCCACATCCAAAGCCCCTAAACACTTTAGCCTTAAGTGCTACAGCACACATCCCAAAGCCCTAAAGCGTTAAGCCCTAAGGCCCTGAAACACCGCCAACCACAACTTTGCAAACGCTGACCCTCAACCGAACCGGCCGCCATGAAGCCGCAAAACTTGGGAACAGCCTAAACCCTACCTCCCTAAAAGCCCCTCATCGCAGGCCGAGGGCGATCAGAAAATAGTCTCCGCCAGTACACGGAGCACACGTTGCTCCACTCGGCCTTAAGCCTTGGGATTTGCTTGGCCGCTTTTAGGATCTATAACCCTAAGGCCCTAAGGCTCAAAATGGCCCAAAAGCCTTATATAGTATGGTCTTTAGGCCCAAAAGCCTTAAAATATGAGTCCTTAGAGCCTTAGGGTAAGGCTTCAGGTTTAGGGTTGCGAGTTTATGGGTTTATAGGGTTCGAGGTGGTCTCTTTGAATTATAAGATGTATAGGGCTGGTCGGCGTCCGCTAGGATATGCCTGGACCCCTCAAGTACGTAGAAGATGAGCTGATATAGGTTTTGTGCCATGACTTTACCGGCTGTGCGGGGGTCTAGGTAGGGCTTAGGGTCTAGAGTTTAGAGTTCAAGCTTTGGGTGCATCGTATGCACATGCACATGTAACTAGATATGGTTATGCAGAATCCTCAGTAAGGGCGGGCATAAGGTCTAACCTGGTACTCCAGACTCCTGGTTCTAGTTGAAGGCTTCAGGGTAATAACACCTGATAGCTTGAAGCCCACCATCAGCCTTACACAAACAGAAACACCAAGTCGAAACCTTAACCTCCAAAAACCCCGCGTCGAATGTTAGGCAAACAACCCTAAACCCTAAACACTGAAGAACAGCCACAACCTTAACCCCAAATAACCTACCTTTAAAGGGACTTATATAAAGAAATCATATTAGGGGGGCCCTAAAAAGGTAGGTTCCTTAGGGTCCAGGAAAGGCCTACACGTTTTGGGGCCCCAAGCCTTCCTCGCAGCTCCTTTCAGCAGCTTCAAAATCCGAACCCCATGCAGAGCCCTTAGAGTTTATAGACTTGAGGGCTTACGGCGTTTAGGGTTCTAAACCGCAGGACCCGCGACACCCTACAACCCTCAAAGACCCATGCAAGGAACTCTAGTTTTCCCTAAACCCTAAACCCTAAACCGTTTGGTCTGTGGCCGGGTGGCCGGGTAAGCACGCGGCACAGGCTACACTGAGTGCATCCCTGCCAAAGGCACACGTTCCGGGGCCTGGGAGCAGAAAAAGCGATCAATATTACCTAGACCCTCCATCTACCCTCTATTAGACCCTAAATCCCTCTGATTTGGGACCATATACCCCTATTTGAGGGTACAAAGAGGGTCCTGGTAGGGTTTAGGGTTACGGCTGGGATGTGAGGCTTTAGGGCTTCACGGTGGTTGAAGGCTTTAAGCATTGGTTGAAGGATTTAGGCTTTAAGTTTAGGTAGAGGAGTGGTACGACCCTAGAAAACTAGCGAGAGCATGTAACCCCCCCACATGCAAAAGGCAGCCAACAAAAATCTTCTCATAACTTGCCAATGCGCCCAGGCTGCTTAGTGATCTACTGAGAAAAAGCAGGATTTTGGGCGGGTGGTCCGGTAGGTATCTGATACTCGGATCCCAGAAACAACACAAAGAGTAAGCAGTATACCACTAGAAAAACCTGGACAAACCTTAACCCTCAGGCGCTTAATCCGAAGGCCCTAAAACCGAAACCCTCAAGACCTAAAGACCTAAACCTCAAACCATACACCTTGAGGTTTGCCAGGGCACGTCCACCGGGACATCGACTGGCGTCCCCGTAGCACTTGAATACAGCCCCAGGATCCTCTTCGCTGGAGTAGTAGCCTGGGACGGCTGATGATATAAATCCTAGGGTTCCATTTACAGTGAACCCCAGAAAGTTGGAACATCGATTTATGATGATTCATGCTGGGCTTCCCTCTACTTTGCTCTAAGGGCATGAGGCGAATGATGTTTCAACTTTCTGGCTTCTACTGTAAAGGGATCTATAAGGGTACTTTTGAGGAGTTCCTTTAAGGGATCTATAGGATTTTAGGGTTTAGGGTTTAGGCTGCTGATATAAATCCTGCATTACCTTAAGGACCATAAACTATGGGAATTATGGTATATTCATATTATGGGTAATGCAGGATTTATATCATCAACCGGATCAGGAACGGCTTTGGGCTTACCTGGACCCTATACAACCTTGCTTTCTCGGGCTCCGTATTATGATTTCCATATAAAAGCACAAAATGAGTTATCGGTTAAGGTAGGGTTTAGGTTTTGCAGTGGGGTTCCAGGTCTTGGGTGCAGGGCTTGGGATTCGGACTCTTTGTTCAGGTTTGGGCTTTAGGGAACTGAGTTTGGGGTTCTCACGAAGCGGCAGTACAGAGGCCTAAGCGATAAGAACGAGGAGTGGTGGCATCCAGGAGGGCACGCGCAGTGTCCAAACTTTCAGCCGCCTCTACCGCTGGTGCCAGAGCTGCTAGAGACGGTCCAACGTCAAAAATTGGCAACACTTTGTCCAACACTCTGAACCCTAAACCCCAAACCCTAACCCTTTGTCCGACACTCTGAACCCTAAACCCTAAACCCTAACCCTATAAACTCGCAGCACTAAAGCAAGCCCTAAACCGCAGAACTCTAAACCCAAGGAACCCAGAGCCAACAGCTTAAACATCAAAAACTCATGACAGGGCAAGAACTCTAGAATAGGGTTCGGGTATATCACAGAAGTGTATTAGTAGGGAGGCGACTAAAAGGGAATAGCATTACGGTTTAAGGGGAATAACCAGTATCGCTTGGGTCCGGCCCCCATTTAGAAATAGTTGAATAATATTCAAAATACAGCTATATTAGGACGTTAATCGTTGCCCTATTATAGACTCTTACTGTAAGGGGGCAGGGCCTAAAGTATCGCCTATTCCGACCCTTACACTATAGGACGCCAGAGCCGGGCAGCCTGACACAAGCTCCAGCTCGTTTGAGCCGGGACACCTAGCTCCTGGGGTTGGAGAGTGTAGGTTTAGGGTTTAGGGCTTTTGGGGCGTAGGGGTTGGGATTCATAGAGTTTAGGAATTTTAAGGGGTTTTAGGGGCATTGTGGGTGTCGAGGGATCCGGGTTTACAGCTTGGAGACTGGTGCTTGCCCAAACCCCAAACCCCTACACACCCTAAACCTCTAAACCCCTCAACCCTAAACCCCAAACCCAAAACCCGCAAGCCGTTTCTGCTTTGTGCTTCGGGTTTTCGGTTCAGGGTTTTGCATGATCACTCGAACTTTAGGGATTTGGGGTTTAAAAGTTCATAGGGTTTCAGTGTCTGTGTTTAGGGCTTAGGGAGAATGGACGCCTTCGGAGCATGGGTGGCAGCGGCCGCTGTCGAGGTACCAGCCGGGAGCACATCGACAGAAACTCACGTTGCTAGCAGCCTCGACCTTGTAACCGTTTGGGGTTTGGGGGTGATTGGGTTTGCGATTAATATCCAAGATGCATTTTGCTACCAACAAAACTCATATCACAGGCTACAGGGCTCTGGGTACATGGGATCTACGGCTGTTCCGCATGCAGGAAAGTCCTTACCACCACTTCGACTGCGAGTTTGGCGCTTGTTCTGGGCGTTGGGTTTGGGGTTTTGGACGTTTGTTTTGGGGATTCAAACGCATTAAAGGAGAGCTCTGACCCCACGGGTACCTCCGAGGGCTTTGCATTTGCGGCATCACTCAACTCAACTGTGGAGATTCCAAGGTTTAGGGTATATTGGATATGTAAAGCTAGAATTTTTTGGTCTACTGCACTTGGTGTAGGATTTGAGCATTGTGGATCCATGCTGCATTTGGCCACGCCTAGTTGTGAACGGCAAGCCCCTTCAAGCTGCTACGTTACATCATGATAAAATGCGGACTGTAAAGGGAACATTCTTACCTGCCAATTGATAATTATTCTAAAAACTCTACATGGAATTACTCTTAAAACTCTGCAAGAAAGACAAGAAAAAAACGCTACTCCTCGCACCTCAATCCATCGCTGGTCGCCATGGAGGGACACCAATCGGCTCGTCGTCCAATATTGCTCGCTGCCGCAGCGCGCGCACTGCGTCATGCCGGCATTGTCTGCATAGCTTCCTGGCATCTGATATGGGAGTTTCAGAAAATAGGGAACCCTTTTTAGTACCCTAAATAGTAGGATCCTTATATTGCAAGGACCCGGAAATAGGGTACCCCCTAATTTTAGGAACGTCCATCTGATATTCTGGTAGCCCTATCGGGGAAGTGTAGCTTGTAGGGTGTGCAAGGAGTCTTCAGTTGTGAAAGGTTTAGGACTTCGAGTTCAAGTTTCAGCAGTCCCTCCCAAGAGCTGGACGAACTGGCAAGTGGCTGTTAATATATGGGGCTCGGGCAAAGTCGTTGCAGGTTCGAACTTGTACATAGTGATCCTGAAGGGACATATTCAAGGCATGAAAATGGGAGATTGCTGCAAAAAGGAACCCATTAACCTGAAACCTACACCCTCAACCCTAGTTTCAGGTCATGCTCTAGCCGAGTTCTAGCGCTACGCGCCAACCCCTAACTGCAAACCCTGAGCCGCGAAACCCCTAAACCTGAACCCTAAACCCCGAAACCCTGAACCCTAAACCCCAACCTTCTAAACCCTAAACCCCTTAACCCCAGACTTTATTATAGGTCCCTTTAAGGAACCCTTATAAACCCTTAAAGCCCTAAACCCTGGATTCTAGATCCACCACTGAGGCCAAGCTTCCGAGCTCGCACTGCCGGCACAGCAAGGCCCCTTCTTCCTTGCTTGCTGTCCAGGGATAAGGGCTCTATATCAGGGTACGTACTACAAACAGTATCATAGGGGGGTTCAGGGTTTAGGGCTAGGGCTCTATCAGGGTAGGATAAGGGTACGATCAGGGTGGTTTAGGGTTTAGTGGGCTTTGGGTTTTTGGCTGGGGGACTTAGGATTTTAAGCTGCAGGGATGCTGGCTTCTCCAATTTGGGGGCTGGGGTTAGCGGCAGCCGCACAACCCCGAGGCCAACAAACAATAAACCCGGAGTTATACAATGTGGTATGCACCCTAAACCCTAAACCCTAAACTCCTTGAGCCCTAACCCGCTAGGCCCTAAACCCCAAAACCCTAAACCCTAAAGTTTGCTTAGTCAACGACTCAGACGAAGAGAGAAAGGCCGTGGACCTCGCCAAGCGTCGGGGGCCACCCTCCCTGCTTCGCACTGGAGGCATACCGTCTCACCGGAGACTGCCTGTAGGTGTATACATGGACAGTTCTATGTGAAAATATGAACACATGAATATACCATATATACACATACATATACATGTACCTTTACATATACATATATACATATACCTTTACCTATACACGCATGTATGTATGTACATGTACATGTACATGTACATGTACATGTATATGTATATGTACATGTACATGTACATGTATATGTATATGTTTATATGTTTATATGTATATATGTATGTATGTATGTATGTATGTATATATGTATATATGTATGTATGTATATATGTATATATGTATATATGTATATATGTATATATGTATGTATGTATATATGTATATATGTATATATGTATATATGTATATATGCGTATATGCATATATGTATATATGTATATATGTATATATGTATATATGCATATGTGTATATGTGTATATGTGTATATGTGTATATATGTATATATGTATATATGTGTATATGTATATATGTGTATGTATATATGCATATATGTGTATGTCTGTATGTATGTATGCAGTTGGGGTTTAGGGCTTCGGGTTCTGTGTTTAGGATCAGTACTTAGGATACAGGGTTCAGGGCATAGGACACAGAACCCTCATCGCACCCTCGTCGAATCCTCATAGAGCTGTGGCAGACAGTGGCTGAACACAGTTGAGAATGAGCAGTACTAAGCCTAATCTTGTGGAATCAGGCTGAGTTTGTGTCGAGGGCTTGAGGCTGCCCCATCCTCTGAATCCTAAGGTCCTGCCTGAACCTTATGTTGCATATTTCCCGAACTGAATCATAAATCCAATGCTTGACTCCCAAACCCTTCAAACACCCTCACAAATTGCGGGTTCTGGTCCCAAGGCTCGCAAACTAGCCTGAGAATGGGTTTCATAAACACAAAGACCCAAAGGACCAGATGGCTTCAATTAGAGCCCTTATGATAGAACTCTTGCGGACTCCTCATTACTCCGTACAGAAACCATCTCTTTAAAGCAGCGTCATATGCCACCATAACAAACTAGGATGCCCCGTAACCTAGGAATAAAACGGGCTCCCTTTTGGTATTTGGGTACCTTTATGATTATAATACGGAACCTAGGACTACAAACAGGGAATAAGGGTACTACTGGGCATCCTAGCAAAAAGCATCTGGGCTGGCTGGCCTGGTAGGAACCCGCACTGCAGTTCTTGCACCTGTACGTCTGACCATAGTCATCGACCAAAGAAGCGGAAAACCGTCCGGCGGCACCTTGCTCTAAGGGGGGTACCGGGAGCCCCTGCCCCCCCCCCAAAAAAAAAACTGTAGAATAGTGACCTTTTTTATTGGTGTTGGGCCTTCATTCCACCTACTTCAAGCGGTTTAGGAGGTTAGGGATTTGGGATATGGGAGTTCTTTCCGAAAATAGAGGACCCTAATATAGTACCCTGCCAAAATAATACAATCCTTATTATAAGGACCCAAAATGAGTTTCGAAAACTAGGTGTACCCATATGCCCTTAACCCTAAACCTTGAGGGTTGACTGGGGCAGGGTCTTGGGTCTTGAAGACAGGGGCCCAGAAGATCGAGCTGCAGTGCTCCTTGAGGGGCCCCTGGCTGCTGTAGGGTTTAGGGCTTAGGGTTTAGGGTTCAGAGTTTAGGGTTTAGGGTGCAGGGCCGTCGGTCTGGGATCAGCAAAGAAGGAGCCTGCCCGTCCCCAAGAATCCCGAGTTAAAAAGAACCGAGCCTTACTTATAGGATCATGGGACTTAATAATTGGGGTTATAAGTAAGGTAACTACAGTTATAAATAGTTATATCCCCGAATAAGGTACTTATAACCCTACTTACTAAGTCCCATGATCCCCCAAGTAGGGTAGGCTGCAGGGCTTCAAGGCAACGAGTGGCCAAAAGTCTTAAACGCCAAGACTAAAACTGCAACAAGGAAGCGCTGCACCCCCTGGCTCCTTATACTGACCCGTACCTAGTACAATAACGGCCCAAAACCTATATAGAGTTATTTTACATTCTTCCAAAATCCAGGTAAACCAAAACGCTCTCCACAAGTCAGTGTAGGAAACCCAGGCGCAAAGGCTGCAACTCGCAGCGGACTCGCGTGTCGCAACATGCACACCGCTCCCATCGACGATGCCAAATCCTCCCAGTTTTACGCGAATTACGGCATGAACTGCAACCCTAAGGCTCTAAGGACTCATATTTTAAGGCTTTTGGGCTTAAAGACCATACTACATAAGGCTTTTGGGCCATTTTGAGCCTTAGGGTAAGCTTTGAAGATTTGGGGGGCCGGGCTTAGGGCATGTTCGGAGCTCGGGGTTCAAGGTTTAGGGCTCCAGGAGCAGGAGAGTTTAGAGCTCGGGCTGAAATTCCGAAACCCTAATTCATCCTTGCCTTCATCAAAGTCCTACAATCATACAACACTGGCGGGCCCAAGGCACCCTATAGACCCTAAACTCTATATTGCCTATGACGTATGACATCGGGGCATTGGGGTGGCCAAAAACCGGAACAACACTTCCTGGTTCCAAAAAAAAAGCAACGGATGCGGATCCTGGAAGACAGTTTGTGTCCACGGGCAGCCAAGTTTGCCACCTTCCGAGCTGTTCATCGCAGCTTGTGGCTTGGGGTTGGACTTGGGCGCTGTGGGTTCGGGTCACTATCAACGTCGCTAGACAGGCTATCATAAGTGTTCCTATAAGGCTTACTACTTGATACTATTTGTGAGCTCGGGTTAAAAGCTCCCAAACCCCTCAATTAAGGAACATACCCTGAAATTTAAGGTGTCTTCAATAATTTAGCAGTGTTATGGTGGATAGGCGCCCTGGCCCCAAACCCTATAGATCCCTTGAAGGGACCCTAAAAGGAGCCCTCAAAGGAACCCCAAACCCCAAATTCAACCCTAGGAGTCTCTTGATAGGCACCCCAAGCCATAAACCCTAAACCCTAAAATCCTAAAATCCTAAACCCTAAACCCCAAAAACCCTAAACCCCTAAAACCCTAAACCCCGAAACCCCTGAACCCTAAACCCTTGAACCCTACGGAAAGTTCGCCGCCTCTGCCGGTTGGATTGCACCCACCAGCACGAGGTCGATTGGATTGAGTCGCCCTCCACGACCTTCCTGGGCTTTAAAGGGAACTCCAGAAAGTTGGAATATGGAAAAATGGCAGGATCCCCTATAATTTACCTTAAAGGGATTATGACAATGATATTCCAACTTCCTGGGCTTTAAAGTTTTGGGTGTTGCTTTTTGTGTTTTTTTAAAGTGCAATGGGGCCTTTTTCTGCCGAAAGTCCAGCCTTCCTGGGCTTTAGGGTGTTGGGCTATTAGGGTTTAGGGTTTCTGTCGGTTTAGGGTTTGGGGTTTAATTTAAGGGGTTTAGGGTTTGGGGTTAATTTAGGCTTAGGGTTGAGGGCTCTAGGACTTTTGGTTTCAACACCTTTTTCTGCACCCCCATCCTCTGAAGCCGGTTTAGGGTTTAGGCTTCAGGGTCTGCTTGGAGGTTCATGGGCAATTACAAGTGGGGTTATAAGTTCCCTAGTATGGGGTATAAGTATAGTTACCCTACTTATAACCCTACTTATAACTACCCATGAACCTCCAAGTGGGGTTTGGGCTCTTTGGCTTTGGGCTTTCGAGCTTAGGGTTTCGGCAAATTACGGCAACGGGGTTGGCTCCTGCATGCCTGGCACCCGAACACCAACCTCAAGCCCTGAACCCACGCACCTCAAGCCCGACACCAAGGACGTATACCTATAGTCTCCATTGTACTTCCTTTTTTTGGTGAACCACAAACTCTATTAGAGGATCCTAACCATAAAATTGGGTAACCCAAAAGAGGAACTA